TGCATTGACCCAGAATGGTATTAAGTTATTGTTAAAAGAGGTGGTTCTTAAGGGTTAACGTGGTGGTTCATAAGCAGTTCACGAGTAAAGCCTTCACACAGAACTTGTTCTATATGGAATTCAAACAAACTTCATTAATATTTGAAATTGCTTGCAACGTATACAAGCCGAGCATGGTTGTTTTAATATGTTGTGCTTTTAGCACGCTATCGGGCAATGTATTCAGTGAAATGAAGTTACATTACGGTTCATACGCTCGTTATTCACAGCATAATTTGCTTTATTTGATGTAGATTTATTTCGTAATGTTACTTGCACTTTCTAAAATTGTGGACGCCTATACGTAAAAAGGTGATAATCAATTGCCTTCACAACTAGTTATATTGTTTACCAAGGAATGATTTGGTTTTAATTTGATTTGGAAATCTCAATGAATGTATTGTCATTGAAATTTAATGATACAGAAATTTCAAATAAATTTGTCGGTACGATACGCGCACCATGCCTATAACCTTCGCGCAAAAGTAAGCAATAATATGTTGACAAAATTTTATCACAATCTGATGAACGATATGGCAGCGCATAAAATACGAACAAACAAATATTAATTTTTATATATGGGATTAGGTATTTCATATTTAGATAATAGGGGTTCAGATATGAAGTTACATTTAATAAAACTATTCTTACAGAATTTATCGCGTTTAATAATTTTTTTTAAATTCCCGACTTTTCGTACTGAGGTGACCTGACGTCCCGAAGTCAGAGATAGCCCGTAGTATCTTCAGCTTTTTAATTAAGTATTACTTTTGTGTCCGATCTACGCAGAATGAACTTACTGTGTCTTAAAGTCTTGTAGTGGTATGGTTGGGTATAGTTTTATAAATATACTAGCAGTTCTCCGCGACTTCGCACTCGTGTAATTTAGAGTTTTAATTATGTTGCTTGGAACCCCAATTAGTTTTCTAAAATAAAAGCAGCCTAAATTACTCCTTATAGCATCAGCTATCCGCCAGTGAAAGTCCCGTCAAAATCGGTCCAGCCGTTTCGGAGATTAGCCGGAACAAACAGACACACAGACAAAAAATTTAAAAATAGTGCTTTTGTTATGAGTATCATATTCATATGCATTTAGTAAAAAGCTGTAATCTGAATATTACAAACAGACACTTTAATTTTATTTTTTTGTATAGATAACTTTTCCCAAGGAAAATATTTTGGCAGGCAGCGGTACAAAATGCCTTCATAGAAAAGTCTACAGAGTCTAGATCCCCAGACTTATATCGCAAAGAAATCAATAATCTTCCCTTGAGATGGCAATAATGATAATGTGTATAATGAAGATAAATAATCCCACATATATGCAATAAATGAAACCACATACTAGTTATAGTCTTTGCTTCGAATCGGTCTAGTAATTAGGTCAAAAAGTAAAGTATTAATTTTAAGCAAATTTTAATTCTGTGAATTGGGTCACTAGGTAAAAGATTCAATGAATTGGAATCCATGAACATTAAAAAGCGAAGTTGCCACGCAAGTGCAAACAAACGCAGTGCAAACTATCATGATGTGAGACTACGTACGTTGATAGCGTTGTCTTGTAGCGGCGTAGGGCATCTTTCACTTTTGCTTCCTGCGTCAGGCCTCTGTCACTCTTGCTGCTTGCGTGAAATAATTACCTACAATCGCGAGGCGCCCCTGGACAGAACGCAGTTGGGGCTAGCGTGTTCTAGGCGATTGAATATTAAAGTGTTTTAACGCTGTTTACGTAAATAGTTTTTTATAAATACTTGTTGAAATACTCATCGAAATAGTTTTTCTATATTAGTTAGTATATATAATTGTAGGATAAAATAGTTAAAAAAGTTTTGATGTAATTTAAGAAAAATATATATGTACGTTACCTGTCTATTTCGTAAATTCCAATGGCAAAACGTCCTTGATATAATAAATATATAATATAAACACTCACGCCTGTCACCCAGAGGGGTAGGCAGAGACTACGGACTTCCAATGGGCGCGACCCTGACACACCTCTCTCGCCTCCTTTACATCCATATATCTACATATACATGCTCGTCGGTTAAGGGTACTCCTAATCTGGCCCATTTTTAATGTATCGCCGGTTTGTTCGATAAACCTTCCTCTAGGGCTTACCTTTCCGACCCTGCCGTCCACATCTGCAACATAAATTTGCTTTGTCACTCTTTTCTCGTTAATTCTTTCTACATGACCAAACCACCGAAGCATTCCTTTCTTAATCCTTATCACAACGTCATCTTGCAAACCACACTTTTCTCTTATCACACTATTTCTCAACCTGCAATTCAGATTCTGCCCTAGCATACTCCATAAGGACCGCATTTCTACAGCATTTATTCTACTCTCATGCTTCTTCTGCCACACCCAACTTTCACTACCATACATTAAAGTAGGGACTAACACAGCATTGTGAATTGCCATACGTGCCTTTTTGGACACAATCTGACTTCTCACAATAGGGTGTAGAGCCCCGTTCACTCTATTTACTGCATTCACTCGTCGTTCTATATCCTTATCATGTCTATCATCCCTGCTAAATACACATCCCAAATACACAAACTCATTTACTTGCTCGACCTGCTCGACTTGTTAACTCACCCATTCTTAACCCGCATTCTTCTACTTTCAAATTTTCTAAACAACTGTCCATAAATAGGTTGAACAGCCACGGGAAGCCACATAGCCCTGTCTGACACCATTATAGATGCCAAACCAGTCCGAGTAGGCCCCGTTGATCCTGACACAAGCACTAGAATCCCTATAAAGAGACTTTAATGCCTGTATCAACACAGCGCTCAACCCAAATGAGTTCAGTGTTTGCCCTGCCCACTCTGTCATAAGCCTTTTCCATTACTTTTAGATTTATTTTTTGAAACTTAAAGACAATTAGTTAAACAAGTGTGTGTGTGTAAATAGTGTTTATAAGTTTTTTATTATTTTTTGACTGTGATATTGACACTACTTTACTTTTGTGTGTACGCGTGTGTTTTTTGAACAAAATGCCAAGACAAGAGCATTCTTACAGTGCGGCAGAGTATATTTATATATGGTTTTATTGTATGGCAAATGCTGCCAAAATTCAGCGTTAACTCTGCGTACTTATCGTGAGAGATACGGCGTAACTCGCGTTTGCCCTACTAGCGTCTGGACAATCCTGGGAGCTGTCCGAAGTATCAGGGAAAATCAGCACATTGTAATCAATACACCTGAAGGAGTTACTCCGCACCATTTTTCATCCTCTTTCGAAAATTAAGTCTTAGACCATTTCGATCGGACAATCTGCAGCCTTAGGCAAGCTGGGTGCGTGCTTAAAGTGAGGCATAGAACAATTCATCAAGTGCTGAAAAGGAACAAACTATGTCCTTATAAAATTACGCAAAGGTGCAGGCGCTGATGCCGCGTGATAAGTTGATTAGAGACTGTTATTGCCACTGTGTATTGAAAAAAAAATTCTCAAGCCCAACGTTTCCTATCAAATGTGTTTTGGATAGATAAAAGTACGTTTACTCGAAATGGCATATGGAACCGACAAACCATGCATCACTGGAGCCATAGGAATTCCCATTTATTTAGGGATTCAGCTTATTAATACCGATTTTCCATTAATGCTTGGGCAGGTATTCACGGAGATCAAATAATCGGCCTTATTTTTATTGACGGAAACCTGAATGCACAGAAGTTTCTCAATATTATTAACGGCCCAATAACAGAATGTTTAGAAGGATTATCTGTGATAACTTACCAGCGGGTATGGTTCCAGTTAGTTGGACCTCTTTTTATTAAGATGAAGTATACTCAAAGATATCCGAACTCCACTTTTGACATATTAAAAGCCCTGGTTCTGGATCCTGTACGAAATTTGTTGAGCAGGCTTCAAGCCAATATTATGCGGCGATGTAACTTTTGCATTCAAGAACGTGGCGGAAATTATGAAAATTTTAAAAATAAGCAATTCTTAAATATGCAAAAATATTTATTTTGTTCTGTTCCATTATCCAGAAATAAAAAAGTGGAGGTAAAATTAAGCAGTTTAGTGAGTAAGCCGTGCCGACAACGCTGCCGGCCGCCAACCGCCATGCTAACCACGTGCAACTTTGCCACTCTTCCAAAGGGTCAAGGTATGTAGTCTAAATAGGACGTAATTAAGCAGAAAGGACTCAATCCACACAGTGGTCAAAATTGAGTTAAGTATGCCATCGTAATCCTGAGGGTCGAAACTATTATGTAGTGAAACCCCTATTTTTAAAATGTACACGGAAGCTGATTTTTTTCGCTACCCCGACTCAACCCACAGTATGAAAAGCACATTAAATGTATTCGCTGAATGAATTCAATCCGCTTGAATTGAATCTAAGTAATCCATTTCTATGAGTATGTTCTTAAGGTCGAAAAACCAGGATGAACTCAAACGGTTTGCATCCTTTCTGAGAAATAGATTTGATCGGAAATATCATTTTACCAAATAATTGAAATGACTCAAACAGGTTGGGTCGTTTTTACGTTATAGGATTACTGAGACAAATAATTATTTGTTTTTTTTATCAAAAACGACTCAAAACACTTGGTATGTTTCAGAGAAACGGCTTTAGTCGAACAGTTCATATTACCAAAAAACCTTAAATGACTCAGACAGGCTGAGTCGTTTGTAAGCAATAGATTTACTGACAACAACATTTGGCTAATGAATATTAGTAATATTGAATCAATTTTTATTTTAGTTGGAACGATTCAAACTATGTATCTTCTTTCTGTGATCAGGTCAAGTATTTTATGGTGTTAGAAAAGAATTTATCTGAAATAAATTTATATGTTTTGCAATGTTTATAAAAGACATGGATGTAATAAATTAGTAATAGACTAATTATTAATTTCCAGATAATTTCTAAGGTGGCAACTTTTTGTCGGTAAATTACTCTCGAAAACTGGCAACTCTGCCACATTGTCGCACACTGGCTGGTGAAAGACGTGTTTTGTTTTATTTCGGTAAACTGTATGTTAAAAACAAGTAAATTCAAGATGAGACGAATTGATCGAATTTTGTTTAGTGCCTTAAGACGAGAGGTTTACGAAAAGCCTGAGTTATCAGATGGTAAGTAATATTTTTGTCCACGTTCATTTCTAAACTCAAAATGTATTTTTTGTAAACGAATAAGTAAATGACGACGAGAAAGATACTGTACATATTCCTTATCACTGTTTTGTCGCAATCATAACCTTAGTCTGGATCTAAACGATCTGATGTAGCTAACCTATTTCAATGAACAGGGAGCGATTTAGGAGAAATTTCTGTGGCGAAGTTGTTCCATCAGGTGAATACAATACCTATTTATTACATAGGTAATACAATATTTTTAAGAAATTGTAACGCGTGGCATAAAACATTTTTCCAGCTCTAAATCGACATGATAATCAATCGACATACTAAGCAGATATTACCTTCCTATCTATGTACTACGTCAACATTATTTACAATGTACTTGCGTAAGAATTTTATTATCAGTGACATATTATTGTATTGTTCGTTGCACGTCTTAATGAGCTTAATGCAGCTTTTTGGTTTGCGGTGTTCAAGATAAAATTTGACTCTTTTTAAATACTTATTATTTTCCGATTAAAAAAGCATGGTCTAGCAGAAAAGGGCACTGAGTTCAATGTGGTATTTTGCTGTGCTAAATGCTTTGGTCAAGAGTTTTGGTTTTGTATATATCTTATCCCTCATCTCTAATGTCTGATTATACTTACTAACCTTTGTTACATATAACTAACCCCACCTGAGTTATAATTAACTGGCATCCCTTACGCTATTTACTGATTTTATACCTCTACTATGACAACTCATAATTTACAGATGGAAATATACCAAAGGCTCCTTTAGTATTTGAAGCAGATGCGCCCATGAACATCAACTGCGAAGGTACATATTTCCTTAAAAGAAATAAATTAAGAAATTAATTAGATATCTAGGTGAATAGCGGGAGTGATTGATTGGTTCTTTTTTCTATATTTCAGATAACGGATTTCCAGATACTAGTAATCTTTTGTGCTCTCCAGCGCCTCTGGCTGTAATTACACATAATGCAATCATGGGATCAGGTACATCACATTCAAAACTACATAGCATTATATGGTAATTGTTGCAATTTATGTAAAAAGTGAACTTAAATCTTAACCTAGGTAGTAAACCAGATATGGAGTCTCCAGCTGCTCCTGTGTACTCTCTACTGACTCCGCTTGTGACTGCGAGAAAAGCCTGATCGGAAACAAGTAAGTCAAAAAACTGATTCCTATTTTATACTATTCTTCGCCCAAACTTCTATGAAAATAAGTAGGCTAAGATATTAATGACTGTCATTACTCTGAGGCACTATTCTTCATGTTCTTACCAGGTGTAGAATCATCAGCTGCTTCTGCATTTTCTCCATTAACTCCTCTTGCTACACGAAAAGAACTTCAAAACAAAGGTAAAAAAGTTTAGGATAAATTATAGACCAAATAAGAATGCGAACTTAGTAATAAAAATGACTATATTTGTTTTTTCAGGAACCGTAGATAATTTTTCACCACTACCTTCGATGTCACCAAATACATTAAAGATGCTTGAAACCCTTTGCCGAGATTTTTCTACAGTTGAACATGAGTATATTGATATGTTAAAAAGAGGGCACCGTAATTGTGTTATTTATAATGATCCTAAACAAGATAGAGACTATGACGACGATACAGATTCTGATTATGTACCAAACAGTGGAGAGGAAACTAATGTTTCGCATTCATCTGTAAAGCAAAATAAATGGAAGAGCTTTCAAGTTCTCGAGAGCGACAGTTCAGACGATGAAACTATACAGAGGGGTTTGATTTCATCTCATATTGCTATGGTGCACGATAATCAAACTAGAACTGACAGAACTACACAAATGCTACACAATTAAAGTCCGTTCATTGTTTCAAATGACACAACGGTAGACGAACTAATTTCAACGTATCTCAGGCTCAGATACTGAAGCAGTTCATCCTAAAGCGGAAATTGTTCGTCTCGTTACTGAAAACAATGACGCAACGCAAACTTTGGGCAAAAAATTAAAAATATTACTTTTTCTTAGACGAAAAATAACAACTGAAACTTCAAACGCCCACAACTCAAAAGTGACTTTGTGTGCATTGAGTCCTTTCTGCTTAACTACGTCCAATAGAGTATTTACTTTTACTGAATTTATTTTAATATTTATTTTCTTTGAAGATATCACTTTTTTAATTTACGGTTTTTAATATGCCATTTATGGTGCTAGGTTCAAAACTCGGATCGGGAGAATTCAGCTGTGAATCAATATTATGTATTATAAAATTCTCAGTAACATCAGGAATTCGGCGTCGTTTCACCTTCGTGCAACGGAAAACACGTAAATCAGTTGATCTTGCGTCTGATCAATGTCTGGTCGTCCCCGATTGCCGTCCTATCGGATCATGAAAGTGAGGGAAAAGAGATTATACTTGTGCAATATAAGCCATACTCAAGAACACACTTTTGCACTATAAGCCTGTCCTGCGATGATAGCTAGTCTCTGTTTGAGATTAGACACCAAGACCGAAATTAGATAGCCTATGTCACTTTAAATTATCATATTAATCCCTTGCCTTGTCGTGAAATATGAACAAATTAACAAAAACACTTTCGCATTTATAATATTAAAAATAGAGTAAGGATTCGTATCTCAAACAAGTAGTTAGCGATTTACAAATGAAGTTTATTCATATTTATTTTTCAATTCGCATATGTACACGGGTCATTTTTAGGTTAAATTTATTTCTGTATGTAAGATACTTAAAAAGGATAATGACCGTGTGCGAGCACTATAAGAATACTCTTATAATACCTATAGAAAAAACGTAATAGGTTTTATCGTTTACTTTTATTGTCGGCTAGCACTAAAATAAACATGTTCCAAGAAATCGAGTCTGATTTGTAACCTTCACGTCTGATTGCTCAAAATGTAACGTGATTTGAAGTTAAGTTGTAATTCGTATTATACAAAAGAATTATTTTTGTCATTGTATGATTTCTTTGAACATGTGATCAAAGTTTTTTATTTATATTCTACCTCACTAAAGGTGCAAAAATAATAAAACCATAGAGTAAGTAGCGAACGTGTTTACTTAATCCAATACAAGAAGGCATAAGCGCCGAGCTGTTATGCCGCATACCGCTTTAATTTAAAAATGTAAAGTTACAAATTAAGTACGTGCTCAGGGTTAAAGAAACAAGTCTTAAGAAAACTGCAAACCAAGAAACTAATTTAAAATCATATTTTATTATTCTTGAAATCGGAGCAGGTAACGTGGTTTAGATGTCCCATTATATTATATTGAAAGCACCTTTTTTAGCACCTGGTTTGCGGTAGGATAACTCTTCATCGTTTTTTTATAGATTAATCTGACAAACGAGCACACAGTACGTGATACATTATGGTTGTAGCATGAATAGGTCGGCTCGGCTGCGCAGTGCTGCTAACTTTTTTATGATATATGTAGAGAACCGGATACCATTTTTACTGGAAACGAGGTATTCCACCTTAGTCTTCATGGGTGACAACGCATCTGCATTTTGAGGATAGATGTAGATTTCTATGGGCCCGCATCCACTTACTATTAGGTGGTGTGTGTGCTCGTTTGTCACCCTTGTTCTGTAAAAAAAAAATAACATTCCACCTGATGATAAGTGAGTACTGTGGCCCATAACTACATTTGTCCTTGATTTAAAATTAAATTATCTGCCTTGTTTCTAGTAAAAAAGTTCACCGGCATTGTACACTCACCATACGTAACACAGCAGCATTAAGATGTTATTTTAAGTTGGTATTCTGTAAGAGCATGAACCTTCCATGGTTGAGCCTACCTATTCGTGCTACAACTAAATAGCTGCATTATGACTCTTCCACGTAAATTATGCGTAAAGCTGACAATAGAAATTTTTAATTATTCCACAAGAGTACAGCTGTAACAGAAAAAGGGTAGGGAAATATTGTTAAAGCGGTTTTAACCATTCGACAGGTCCACCTTTAACTTATATCCTGCGATAATTATCACTCCGAAATATGAGAACGTTTTCATAATATTTTATACTCTCCTTATTACGCGATTCTTATTATGCATCCAAAAAGTCTATAATGGCATGAAGCGTACACACGCTTCACGCCATGACTTTCTAGAAAAATTCTTTAGAACAATTCGACTAAAGTACACTTTACGTGATAGAGCCAAGCTGCAGCTATAACAGTAGTATAGTTGTAGCACGAACGGGTCGGCTCGACCGGGGAAGGACCACGCTCTCACGGAATACCAGCGTAAAATAGCAGCTTAACACTGCTAGTAGGTGAGAATTGGGGCTTCTGCGTCACTTTCTCTCGCTTCGCTCGAGCAACATGCCGCTGAAGGCCCCAATTCTCTCCATTAGAGGTCTAAATTTTTAGTCTTATTCTCGATCCTCTCTTTTATATCTTTGCTTCATTTCTAATACCGTTTCATTCGGAATCTCAAATACAAATGGTTTAATAATATAACAACAAAATATAAAGGCTAATCTATGTCATCGTTAAAAATGCAAGGTGGTACAAAAAACAGTTACTTTAATAATGAGTACTATTGAAACTTTTTTTTTCTTCTTCTCGAACACAAAGGTAGTTTAAATTAAAAGATGAAGTGTTTATTTACATAATTATTTTGTTGGAAATCAAACAATCATTTTGTTTTCAAAACACCATTTCTTAATACATAAAACATTTTTAACGCACATATTTTCTTATAAGTAAAACAGTTATACAGTAAAGTATCTTTACAATAAAGTTCACAAGGAGTATTTAAATTGGGAGCTCCTAAGCAACTTATATCTATGATACGAGTATAGTATTATTTTCATCACAAATATCTTGCACCCATTTAATTTTTTCACATCCTTTTAAAAAAATATTTTTGTCTTTCAAATATGTCTTTATAATTCTTTTTTTAATTAATAATTTATATAGAGTAAAAATAGTAAGAAATTATATAATTAATAATTTCGTACTCTTTTTTTTAATTAATAATATTTTGAGTTATGTTATATCTTTTCAACTTATATTTAATTATTATTAATTTCACAAATCTATAAAAATAAACATATTTCTTATTTGTTTACTACCGTCTCTTTTTGGTATTTCCCGTCTCTATCCTTTTCATTTCCGTATAAGCCTAGTTGTCATATTACTGGTAATGACCAGTAATATGACAAAATTAAAAAAGTTGATTATCTAAACGAAATCTGGATAAATATATTTAATAATCCGAAACTTAATATTGAGTGTAGGAGCAATTTTTTTTAAATTTTGCTTCCTTATTATACCTTAAATTAAGATGGCACCGATAATAACGCATATTTTGGAGAACTACCCTGACGTTTTGCCGGCAGCCCGATTCTGCGAGATGGATACAGCTGCCCTCTCGCTTACATGCAATAGTTATGAGCTAATTGAATGGAATCTAGACAGTTTTCATTGATTAGGGAATAGCCTAATCTCCGAAAGGTGAAGCCGAAGGCACAGACATGAAATAATTCAAATATTATAATTTATGTTATGTTTACCTGGTTGGTTTTACAGTTTATATATGAGCTCATTTCCACCCAAATCCGTTTAGCTGTTTTTTCATCATTGAGTGGCAAACACCTAAATATATACACAAGCTTTCAAATATATAATTCTTATGTAGATAGGAATATTTTACTATTAAAATTAATTCAGCTATAATATAGATTTCTTTAGGAAAACCCATTGAACTAATATTATTGAAGAGTAGTACAAAATTTATAATATTTGTAGATACACAAAGCAACAAAAAAACCTTTGATAAAAAGTAAGAACCGACTTTAATAACTAAAAAAATAAAACAACTTCCACACAAAGCTTACGAAGCCGGGCTTTAAGACTTCGATACAATTATTTTGTCAAAAAAATCTACAAAAGTTGTTTGCCACCCTTAGAAATTAATTTATTGTTCAAATGCTTATGGTACTACCCCCGAAGTTTAAAGTTTCCAATAAAATAAAGTTTCATTTCATTCAAAAGAACATTTAGATCAGTTCTGCCAGTTATAAGAAACCAATAAACATTTAAAAAAAACATGTGTCGAAGAAATCTTATCATTTTTGAACTCGTTTAGTAACAAGTGGTAAAATTATAAATATTTTGTTCAACCGACTTCAATATAAATATAATTTATTGTTTTTTTAAACTATTATTGTGGGTGCTTCCATATATATTTCGATTAAATTTATATAGAACCACCTGAAAAGAATACCCTTTGAAACAAAAGAAGATTTTCAAAATCGGTTTAGGCGTCTTCGAGTAATCAGTGAACATACATAAAAATATTTTGACGAAATGAGAACCTCCTCCTTTCTGAAGTCGGTTGATAAAAACAAAGAAAAGTGTATTTAAAACCTCAGTTAGTTTAGTCTTCAAAAACATTTATTGTATATTATACCGTGCAGTGGCGATGTAAGAATATCATCCCGTGGGTGTCGTAAGAGGCGACAGAGGAAACAAATTAGGAGATGGGCAGCAGCGCCTTCCTAATAAAGACTAGAATTAAAAAACTGCGATTGCCAACCCGGTTGCCAACTGTGGCAATTATGACTAATTTTCCACCTACGAGGCAAGCTATGTGGAGGCCTATGTTCAGCAGTGGACTTTAATAGGCTGTAACGGTATATTGGTCTTACATATAGCACATACTCCGATGGTTTCAGATCGAAAAACTCTTGTATATTTGTATGTTATAGCACTTCTTCATCATCATCATCAAAAAATTCACTTCAGGACATGAGAGAAGATTTGTTGATTTTATTCATATCATGATACTTGTGAATGTGACTGACACCTTTCTTTTAGTATCCCCCTAACATTTTAACACTTTGCACAAAGACGATCACTATAATTTGGTTTACTTTAATACATTGCCTCAAAAAATTATTTAAAACAGATGTAAAATGTTGATCGTATAATAACAAACATTATTATATAACGGGTTCGTTATATTTTATAACCTTCCCTATTTTCAAGGTCATCATGTAGTGGTGGTGTAAGAATATCCACTAACCCAGGCAGTATAAGAATATGCACCGTGGGTGGGGGCAGAGAGAAACAAATCAGGAGATGGGCAGCAGTTTTTACTCAATAAAAATTTACAATAAGCGGTAGCTAACCCTTTGCCATAGAGGACTATGTCCAGCAATGGATTATAATCTACAAATATATATAATATACTTTAACTGATATAGAGAAACATGGTTAAATATGTCTTTATATTATAAGAGGATTGTGGATTTCATTTCCTTGCGTTACAAAAGGCAACCTTTTGTAACCGAGATATGCAAAAAAAATTACGTGAAGAAAAATATAAACGAGATATATCTCATGTCCAGTCCACCGGAAGGAACTTAACGCGAGCTCGACGACGTGGACAAATGCGCTGTACTTGTGCAGGTAGTGGACTATTTTATCAAAATACAGTGCATTTTTTACAACCAACAAAGATTTTTTACAAAAAGTCGAGACAAAGCACTCAAAACTAATTGGTGATTTTACAGTTAAGATAATAACATAAATGAAACAGAACGACGTTTTTATAAGTCTAACAGTTCAATTATGACTAACCAGGGCTAAATAAATTATTATATATAATATAATGCCTTGAGACATTCTATACCCACTCAAACTAAAGGCGACTTAGAGATAAAATTTATAGTATGTGTCAAAGAAAATTTTATTGGAATATAATAAATAAAAATAAACACTTAATTATATTGATAAAACTATGTTTACGGATTTTATCACGTTTAATTTACGTATTTTCATTCCCGACGTTTCGGGTGTATACGGTGTATTGTAAGAATATAGTCTGTGATTAACTGTAATTGTTAATACAGATGTTAAAATAATTTTTGTTAGCAAAATTAGTTAATAGCAAAAAAGTTTATATTTGTTTGTTTACAAGATAATAAAATAATTATCGTATCATTGATGCACAAGTGTTTAACATAATATGCAGACTATCATTCAGGTTAATGAGTTTAGTTAGTATGTATGTAATACAAAAGTTTTCTTTTACACCTAGAATTTTGAAAAATCTAAATAAGAAGAATATTTTTGATAAATTACCTAAAAAAATGACAAACACAGGTCTTAGATCCTTGTTTAAAGTGACAAAGAATTATCCATACAAGTTTTATGTTATTAGTAAAATCTAAATTAAATAATAGATAGAATAAATACATGAAAAAAGTTTTTGTGTTTGTTAAAAGAAAATTAGAATCTATGGGTCGTTTAAGGAAGCTTCTCTATTTGATGTAGCTTCATCGGCTTTGAATAGCGATTCATTTAACTGCATTTAGGTATAAATACCTTATGTATTCAGCAAGTTACTCCGTAAACTTTACAATACTAAATGGCATCAAACATGGATACTGAATTTATGACAGCCACAGTAGATAGACAGTATATAGATAGTACATATATTTATGTGTAAATAAGTAGTAATTACTTGTACTAGAAGCAAGTATACAGTTTGCATAAGTATTGTAACTTAGTTAAGCCATTTTTACTCATATAATGGTTATATCCTTGTTGATCAAATGCTTCTATTATCCTTAGACTGATGTATTGTTAATTCTGCAAAAAGGGATATTATTTTGTAATCTGCTATCAGATAGTTAATATAAAAATAATATTCCGTCCCCCTACATGAAGCCAGTGAAAATAAGAAGTCAGACAACTTTTACATTGTTAAATATTTTTGATGTAAATCCATAATTACTACTTATGTATTTGGTTATCTTGAGCCGATTAATAATGTGTATTTTATAATAATTTCTTATTTATTTAACATACTGGCAGAGACAACAAAATACTGACAGAAATATGGAAATGTAGTTTATTGAAATTGAAGTATAGTATATATAGTCTTATCTCATATCTCTTATTACTGAAAATGTTCGAAATATAAACCAATACAAACATAAACATAAACCTCACATGCTATTTAGATAGCAATAAATATAGAAAAAATAATATATACAATATTCATTACCTTTTTTCAGGTGAATCGCATAGAATAAATGTCTTATATTTAGCTATTGTAACGGAAAACATAGACGACATATTAGATGAGCTGATCGGAACGAAAATATGTTAGCCTTCATTCGTTTCTCTAATATTCACCACTCAATGTAAAGGGTATCGTATTCTTAAAGTATCGGGGTTCTTAGTAGCATTATTCATAAATTAGTATCTTTAAACAGTAAAGAACATATATTAGAATTAGAACCTAGAGAATATTATGTTATAATAACACCTGGCTATTATTATTCGGCAAATAAAAGAATAATTATATTTAAATTACCTTTATTCACCCTAGATACTTATATAAACTATGTGTAGCTCGTAATAAATACTGGCAGTCATGTGAGTTTCAAGCATCGGACAAGTGTATACTTAATTAGTTTTCGTTCTTTTATTTGTAATATTTTTATAATAGTTCTTTTAAATTAAATTTATTGACAGTAATTTGTTTTTTTTTGTCCTCCGGCGGCGACCTGCAGAATTAGTTTGTAAATAAGTTGATTTTGATCATTCAAGAACTCCTAAGATGTTGCAGTATACGGTAGGCATAAAAATTATTATTAGAAATATGAATTCATTATAATGCAAGATATAATTTAACATGTAATTAGCCCATAAAAGTATGAAGGAAAGATCGAAATCACAAAAATAATAATCTGAAACGAAAGGTTTCGGTCCCGGCGGGAATGGGTTTGGGTGCATTCGGTCAGCATGAGCCAAATAAGAAATAAGACGTATTAATTAACGCCTAGTCGTAATCTACATGGAATGTATCAATAAGCTTTTTGCATTTTACAATGCGGCTGATAATACTGAATTTTATTTTTTTTTTTTTTTTTTTTTTATTTTTTATAGGAGAGGGGGCAAACGAGCATGCGGCTCACCTGATGGTAAGTGACTACCGCCGCCCATGAACAACCGCAACACCAGGGGAATTGCAGATGCGTTGCCGGCCTTTTAAAAAGGAGTAGGCTCTTTTCTTGAAGGTCCCTAAGTCGTATCGGTCCGGAAAAATCCCT